TTCTATACAATTTTTGTAACAATTACATGTGAAAAAATAGATTACTAGAATTATATGATCTATTGTAATTTTCTCTCTTTTCCATTATTCTTGGTGCAATAAAATCTCTTAATTCCTATTCCATATTCTTGTCTTCTTTTATTCTTTTACTTGATCATATATTTCATTATTATTTGTCATATAATTTCAACATCTCAATCCGGTGATTGACGTCACAACAAGTGGTGTCAATCATAGCACTGACTATTTTAATGATATGAATTTGGATGGGACTAAACTGTTGTTGGTATTTGGATTTGAATATACTAGCTTCAAATTGTTGAAATGCTGTGTCTGTGTTCCATATCATCATTCGATGAAATTATTCTTGATTTTGAACTTCAAAGGCCAGATTTCTAATATGCTGAACGTGCTGTCCAAGCTTGTTGGCCAACAAAAATTGGAGGGATCATATTTACTAGTGGAAGATATGGAGAAGGTTAATGGTGGGAGTGGCGAGCAAAAACTTACTTCATGGAGATTTATGTTATCAAGTCCAACTCCCAGTAACAAGGACTTTATGGTGGGATTTGGTATAGACTTGATAAATGATAGACTTTGTAATGATCAACAATAAAAAAAAAATTCAAAGCATTCCCACTGTTGGGATATTTGATCAATAAGAGTGAGTTGTTTCAAAGTTTGGTGTATTGTCAGTGAACTAGCATGTTTGGCGGTGAACGGAGAAAATGGATGTACGGCTGTTGTGTTTTTTTTCTCAATGTTTTAATTGGTGTTTTGTCACTTTTAATTTTTAATTTTTTAGTGTTTGTCGTCACTTTTTCGAATTTTTATCATTTTTTGAGCATCTGCCACTTTTTTGGGACAAGAAAGATTGCTATGAAGACACTGAAGAAATTATGAATGTTTTGAGATTTGTTTAGCATTTATCATTTGTTTTGAGATAGTTGCCCAATACATCATGTCTAGTTCCCCGATTAGAATGATGTGGTAGAAAGAAGAAATAGAACATTATTGGACATGGTACATAGCATGCTAAATAGCTTCAATCTTCGTAAATCCTTGTAGACTGAAGCACTTAAGACGGCATTGTATATATTAAATCGAGTTCCAATCAAAGCTGTCCCAAAAATACTTTCAATTATTGAAAGGTTAGAAGTCATGTTTGCAACATATGCGCGCTTGGGAATGCTTCTCTGAAGTAAGGATCTATAATCCACAAGAGAAGAAACTGGACCCAAGGACCATCGGTGGGTATTTTATTGGATATGCCAAAAGGTCTAAAGGGTACACATTTTTCTGTCCATCTCACAGCACTTGGATTGTGGAACCAAGAAACTCTAAGTTTCTTGAGAATGACTTGATAAATGGAAGCGTTCAAACTAGGAATAAAGTTTTTGAGCATGATCATTCAGAATCTCAACATTCCACCTATAATGATAGATTGATCATAGTTCACTGAACCCCTCAAGTACAAACATGTGT